TTTGAAAAAACTCGTTATCATTAGCTTTAACTAGAACTAATAAAAGCACTTAAGTGGTCTATTCGAATGGGCTCAAATGCACACAATCTATTTTTAATATTTTATTAATAATAGACTATTGAAAATAATTAGTCTTCAGAAATCAAAGCGTAATTTAGTCATCAATCTTTACAAAATGGCCATGCTATGCGCAAGATAAACCCGGCAAATATTGGTAGCACATGCTAAACAGTCACTGAGCTGGGTCAATAGGAAGGCACATGGTATTAACCTACTATTCTGTCTTTGCCATGGTACAGAACCACTTAGCCTCTGGATGAGCCTGTTCTATCCTTTGCAGATATACTTACCATCCAAACACACCATAAAGTACACTGCCACCGTCGACTTACCGTTCAACCTGCAGATTGAACAACACAAAAATGTTAATATTGCGACAAATTCTCTGAAATTTCTCACGAGCTAATCTCACAAAAAGAAAAAGAGAACATGTCATAGGACGCAACGAACTGCATTAGCAGTTTCTATACCAAAAATATCAAACAGTGTAGTACTAACACTGCGAGAAAAAAAAATAAAAATATAGGATACGATAATATTAATGATGAATATTGCTATAGAAATGGTTTCGCGGAAAGAAGTTTGCTCTGAACAGTAGACTGCTGAAAAAACGCACATAGCTATAAAATGGCAATCTTTATTAAACATGTATCTAGTAACATGTATTTTCACCGTGCCTTAAAAAATCAATGTATTAGTTAGAAAATAAAGAATCCTACATAGAAAGTGCGATTTCGCGTGAACTTCGATACTATCAATAATATCATTGTCAAAAAAGATGGATTCCAAGTGCTAAAGCAATGAATGCACACACGCATGGCTGGACCAAGCGAACATTTAATTTCCACTTCAATTTAGATGATGTATGTGAATAATTTTTATTAGGCAGTACTCCAGTATAAAAAAATGTAGGATCGGACGATAAGTGCAGACGTTTTGCATATAAACTGCTTTATTGCTACGTTGCATTACTGTTGTTGCCGTAAGACCGTTTCATCTGAACTGCGTGGTTTATTAAATGACTAGGTTACAGATAGCTAAGAAATCTTAGTCATTGATGTGTTGACCTTTGATAACTTGTTAAGAAGCATTAAGATAAGTTGAACCAAGTAGCCAGTACGCCAAATCCATACCCTATTGAGTACGGCATTAACACTCGAGCCATCATATGTTTTCCAGGTGTAACTGCGTCTCATAACTAATCTGCTACCATATTAGGCCGCTAGAGTTTCGCATATATGCTCCGAAGGAGCGAACGATTAGCAGATGGAAATATTTAGCGAAATTATTTCGTTGGTTCGTCCAACTTTAACAGATGACCTTACCTATACTTGCCATGGTCGAGCTTTGCTGTTCAACTTCTACAGCCAACTCGTTCAAGCCTATCCTTCGTCGTATACTTCAGCTTTTTTTGAGGACGTTCTGCTACCACTGGCTGGTACCATATATTTCATCCATGTTACATCGCAACTCGTGCCATTCTATATTTACAGCGTGACACGGACTTCGTCGGTTCAGACAACAGTTCCAGTGGCCGCCGGTTCGAGCAAGCCATATGCCATTAAACAGCTACTGTCCGCTTAAAAATAAGAGATTATTTGACGTGCGCATGACCTTTATTGCAAGCCGCTGTACAAATCTTAACACCCGTATTTAGCATTACCTATGTACGATATTATTAGCGTCTTGACACCATTTTTTACAGGCGCCCAGTGGCATTACATGGCCCAATGGCACTGATCCGTACTCAATATTTAAATTTTGCCCCGATCTCCTTTTATTGTGGTATATCAAGTCGGGCTAAGCAGTATCATAGAGTCAGGCCAATAATTTCAATCACTGCGCTCGGTGCATTGATTTTAAAGAAAAATTCGGATCTGTCCGCATCGTGTCTGCGCATGGCAGGTAACGATAATATGGTTCAGGCTTACATCGCAGACGCTTGGAACGCTTGAATAGCAGATAATGTTACGTTAGTTGTGTCAGAGTATGACCGGCTACTGTTTTACTGTGTGTGATATTGTCTCCAATTGAACGAAGGGTTTAGAAATAATCATAACCTATTGACACCTTTGTCAGATACGCGTACAGATTTCATATAGAAAAATAACAACAGTGAATAAGAGAAATCTTAATTTTATTGGCAACCACGCAGTCAGCGGCGTTCCTAAAACTTGACCTGTAGCAAGTATCAACCGGCAATAACAGAATATTTAGGCAAAACGTCCTAATCAAGTAAACAGCGTACTTCGCGCAAAGAGCGGTCATATTGCAACATGAACTGGCACAGATACGGCCATTTATTAATAACACGCTGCGAAGACGAAATAAGCCGCGTGTGAATAACGTTGACGAGGTAGTTGTTCACTCTCCATTCGTGATGAACAGTAATTAGCGAAAAGTTTAGACAAGAATGCTCAAGATAATAGAAGACCAAGTCACACTAACCGATGATCTTTCTATGAATTTGGATTTGAAAACCGATTTATTTCACTTCTCCTATTATTCTTGGCCAACCTTTCTTTGTCAAAGGCATTGTTCGCTTTACACTATAAACCACTGCACCGATCATCGATTACTAAGCGATAGATTTAGTCTCGGTCTTGTCTTCATTCTTCATTTGTACAGGATGCTTACAATAATAATATATGAGCAATATGTATGCCTTTTCAAACGCTCTAGCCAGTATTAGGTAACATCTAAATAATAACAACAACAATAATAACGATAACAATAGTAACAGAATTGTAGCAATTATATCAATACTGTAGCACATATGTGTACATAAAATGGACTGCTTAAAGTAATGACAGCGTCAAGGCAAACATGAATGTGACATAAGAGAATCGCTTCTCCTGGTGTTTTCTTTTAACTACCATCACCAACGGTCGTGGTAGTTCTTGTTTTCGTATTGATCAGTTCACTTACCTTCTATAAATGAGTGCGTATGATTGAATGTTAGAGACAGAAGAGCTAGGCTGAATGTGATACAGAGCCATATCTCTTATCCGTGTTGTTCAGATTGGTTCATTCATTGAATCGGTTCATTCCAGATCCGTTTGTCGGTCGCAACCGTCTTCTCGAACTTCTGTCTGCTGGCAACATTTATGTCTCTGCACGAGACCTTCCTTCCCAGTCGTGCTACCAACTGCCTATCTCTGTCTAGTCGTACACCGGTCATCAGGGGCAAGCTAGTCTCATCACATAGCTAACTGGCTCACAGCCTTGTACACAGGTTAGGACTGTCCCATATCAACGTTGCGGATTTCTGTAGAAGAATACCTCCATTTGATTTCGATCATTTCTCGGAATCAAATCGACTCTCGAAGAGTTGTTTCCTGCACACAATCAGGCTGATTCTTCCAAGTGACACGTGTACCCTTTTTCTTTAATTTAACTTCCATAGTAAAATTCGCCGTTGACTCTATAGTAATTGGTTCACTTCGAGGTAAAAAAAAAAAAGTAGATACCTCTAAGTTAACTCTAGAACCCATAATTGCAAAGCTCCCTTCTACACTATACTCCTTTAAGGATAATTAAATGCACGTACCCTACTAATTCGAATTATATATCAAATCTACAAGTTCCCGCGTCACAACCCGGGAACTATCATCCACGACACTTTTAGACTTACCCATATATTAAAGTTCTGATTGCGACCATGACCTTGCGACTACCCATTAGTTCCATGCCCTTAATGTCCTGTCATTTCTGGCTCCATATCGCAATCTGTATTAACCCCCGATTAGCGAATATTGGACCCCACACTTACAATCTTTGCCGACACTTTTGACACGACTTATGGTCGTAGGCCTTGTAACGGGTGCTGTTACAGTTACGCGTCCCCGAGTTTATTGAGGTCCGTTCAACATTGTCTGACTGATCTATTACGGGTTCGAGCAGATGAAATTAATACAACACATGAGCCCAATCGCCCTCTACCTAGTACTGCAGTATGTCTAACATTAGTGGCTTTAACAATACACATTCCACACAGAGCATGCTTTCCGCCTTACGGAGGTAACACTAGCGTCATTGCAATGATTGTCACCAACTATATATAGTATATAAGTCTAAGCCAAAGGAGTTCAACGTAACTAGGCTTCGGCGTTTGTCATTTTTACAAATAACCCAGTTTCCGACCAAGCCAATTACTACATACATAAAATCTGAATATAAATAGCTTCCTCATACTAGATGTATTAGTTAACACGCGTACCCATAACCGAAGGTTAGTGATTTACTCTAAGCTTGGTCTGACTTCTTTATAATTACCTAGGGTTGTCAGATTAATTTACATGAACGGACATCGTATACATGGTAAACGTAGTGACTGGTTAAAAATAATTGGCCAATAAAATGTGTCTTGTACAGTTTATGAATTCACCTGTAAGAACACAAGCCATGAAACCGAATACAGTTTGATGTGCAAGCAATTAGCTGCAATGAGCATTGGACAATAAGTAGAAATGCTCAACAATGTATCGTAAATTGACCCATTTATGCACACACGTCCCAGAACAATGAAAGGCGCATGAGTTTGCTTGCGGTCAGTGTAATCTTCTTCGCATCTGCCGAATCTCTCCCAAACACTTCCCTTAAGTCTGTAAAGGTCATTATTGTTATCGTATTTTGACTAAGCGGATGACATCAACTATGTGCTATAGACCCTATTATAGCAAAATAGCGATATAACACCCACCTTTCATTTACGTCTCATATAATATCTAAGAACAACCAAAACCTCATCCAGCGTATCAGTAAATGTTCCGTGTTCCATAGCTACCTTTGCTTAAAAGGTCGTCATTGAAACGCGTTCTACCTATTCAACGCTTTTCAGGCTCGTCTTCCTACGATAAGGAATTCGTAATCCTGGCCTCAAACTTAATTCGGTTGCAAGACACAACAACGATAGGTTTATCACTCAACTTGATTCGTCCCAAAATTAGAACACATAAGAAATGTAGAAAAAACAGTTCCATCAAAACTCAGCCGATCATTATCTCCATCCCCGATCTCGTAATCTGAAACACTGCTCCAAGTATGCTGACACCTATATTAGGTTTACATATAAGTACTTCACTCAACGCCTTATTGCATGCCCGATGGAGCACTCCTATTCTGCTTCTAAGATCTTGTTACTTTTAAGCGCTCCCCGGTGACGCGAGAGAGCTATTACACTGTCAACATCGTTCGCATTGCCTGCCGGATGACACAATACAACATTGGCATACTGCACCAGTCATACAAATCGTACTCATCTCCGCCTACGGGATTGGTTGCGCTGCAAGCGGCTATAGGCAGTGCCCAGGCAGTATCGACCTGATCATCTTCGTCCCGAGTGGCAAGCGAACAGTGTACAGCTGAACTTGTTTCAGCGGCTCGCCGATTTAAGGACGGAAAACAATGAAGAAATGCAAATTTTTATTTTCCTTGACGGGCCTGTCGGAAAGTGATCCTGGTACAAGGTCTATGAACTCCCAGTTGTCATATTTGCACGCATATCAAGAGAGCAGTAGGATAATCGCTTCGGCATTAAAAGGCTTTATAGTCATACTTTTAATGGACGACTTTCTAAACATTTAGCTTGAGTCCTTTCTAACTGATTCTTTTACTAGCATATTTCGTACAACCGCATATCAGCCCCGCTTCTTGTCTGGTAGTTTTCTCGCCTTTCTAGCATATTCAAAGTCAGATTTTATCGCATCTGTTGAGGTTTCATTTTTGGTATTGAGGTTTCGTTGTTCTTTTACGTCGAAGATTTTCTCCAGAGTTGCTGACTGTGTTCCCTTAATTGACTTCGCATCGTCTTCTTCCAAAGTCTGGGTTACCGTGTAGCATTATTTGTAATAGTAATAAAATTTTTAAAAAAATCAGAGAATCTGCCAATCCAGTAACGTGAAGAGGCCACCAGTGTATAATGGACTCAAGTATCTGACAACCCTAGTAGTAAGGGCTGCTGGTGACAACTGCATTTACCTCACCCAGTTTTGGCCATTTTTTTCTACCATCGCTAGTCAAAATGAACTAATAGACTGAATAATTGGTATCAGCAGATGATGACTAGGGAAGTCAAATAAAGAATTCAATTAATTTTAATTTTTGCCATCGAATACTCGGATTCGAAATCGGCCAGTTTACAACTTTATTTGAATATCTCTCTCACATGAGCGATTTGGTTTTTGCTTCATTGTTATGAATTGTTACTATTTGCAATTCTGATAGCTTTGACGATTCTAGACTCTCAACAAAACGAATGATTTATTTCTATATATAACATATGTGACAAGTGGACTATAAGGAACTTCAACGAAGTTTGTCTCCAAATGAGAAAGTTGTCTTGCGTGCGAATTCTTTTTACCTATAATTTTGTTTTTAATGCTTAATGTACTTAGTTACGTGTCGGTATTTTCCTTATATATAGATAATATAATGTATATTTTCTTCATCATCCATTTGTATATATACGTTCGCTATACTGCTCGCCTCGTTCATCTGACGCAGAACGCTTTCCGTCAACTCGTTTCTTTACTTCTTACATGATTATTTCGGTTAATAATTTATATGAGTTGAAATTGGATCCGTTTAAATTAAACGCTTCTTGATTTGCAACGGATACGCATCAGCTTACCCACTCACGACGTTCTTCGAGGGTATAGCTGTGCGTAGAAAGCACATTGATAGATAGCACGCTACATCGCGTGAAAAATTAAATCTTTCTCCCTTTCGGCAACAGCTTTTAATTTCATCTCTGCTTTTTCGCTAATAATTAGGTGTCACCTTTGTTTCGAGCAATCGACACACGATTGACATCATTGATGCGTCAGCACTACGCTATGTGTATTCATAATGTATATGTATTATATTTACGCACCATATTATAATTACACATTTTGCGCTTTTTCGTTGACAACAATAATAATAATAAAAATAACTCGTTATAACGTACTTAAAGAAGACATGGGTGTTTTGTTCTTCCTTTAGTATGCGCCACGTGGCAAGCGGTGTCACATACTGAAGATGACAATGTCTCTATATTTCATTTGTTTCTCATGTTTTTTAAATAATAGTAAAATAAAATAATAATGATAATAATAATATTGGTTGTAATTATTTGTTATTTTTATCAAACGTATATAAGAGTGTGACGACGTTGAATATCGTCGTTTATGTGAAGTGCGAGTAGTTTACTGGTTAATTTCCAGGGTATTGTTATTTGGGGCGGTTTTGTAGATGGAAATAACGCGCCCGGTAGTGCGACGTTTTGCAGTACGCCGTAAGCGGCTCAGTCGTTATCGCTTTTTCCGGCAGTTCTAGCCGGTTAGCGTTCGGCTCAGTCAGAAACCCGCTGCCCCAGACACAGACCAAGATCAGATCGATCCCGAGGTCCGCCCCGGATAATTTTTCAACGGGGATCAGACGGGTGGAAAAGTCTCGGAACGTGGGGGGAACATGGGTCTGTGAGCTATACGCCGACGACGGCTAGAATGCTTAGTAGGGCTGCCTTTGACCGTAGTTGTTGTACCCCTGATTCCTATTCTGCATGGGCCTTTGCTCGTAGGAGTTATACCCTCCTCCGCCCTGAGGGCCCTGGTTGTTGTAGCCTGTAGTAGTTGATTGTTGGTCCAATCAGGTGGTTGGTGAGAGAGATTAAGAAATAACAGTTGCGTTAGAAGACGCTTGCTTTTTATCCCCCGGCTGATTTAAAAACTGGCCACGATTCCCATCTCCATATAGCAGCGAAAAATTCATTTAAACAAGCTTTCTACCGAATGACCGCATTGTTCACCCACCGAGTATAAAAATTTATTTAAAAATCTAAAGCTAAATCAATCACGCAATTAACTCATCATTTTCAGTTGGGCTCTCTTGAATTTGTCCAGCCGTCTCACAACGTAGATAGATAGGAACTCACTTCAAGGTTCAAAAGTGATAAAATAATAAAAACAAATTAGTTGCCCGTATATCCCATTCGTTTAGATTAATGTATTTTAAACAAAAGAAACTAGAGTGATAAATCTTAATGAAGAACGTGCGCAATGAGCAAATAGATAATTACCGAACTTCCTAGTTTATTGTTTATTTTCGCGACCCTGTTCGAATTTATCTTAATGTCACTGTTGTTATTTAGGTTCCGGCGTCTTTCACATTCAGGTCTAGCTGTTATACAATCATCAGACGATCTTTAATTAGGTGTTTTTATGTGAACTTGTCCACAGCACGAATCCAAATTAATAATACTAAATGACTAACCCCCCATAAAAACGGTTACCGCAATAACAGGGCCGAATCTGGATAGTTTAAAAAAGTCTGCAACACTTAAAGCAACCATGTTAAAATAAATACCAGAACATAACACATGCTTCTTTCCAAGTCATTTTCTGCACTAAATACATCTACGAATTTCCTTATCACCCCTTCTTCACGTGTCTTACGCCGAGCCATCAGAAATATACCACCCGAGGGCAATTTTGAAAAAGTCATTAGACACCATACTTGCCTTTTGCCAGCTCTTATGCCTCCAAAGAAATCAATAACGCTTGATAAAGTGAACACGCAGTGCTCACTGTCTACACCAAGTGAATAGTTTTTCACTTCACTTATTTGTGTTCACCCTGCGAAAGGTTATCATCGATTTGGCAATTTTACCAAGTACCCTAAATACAATAGATTTGTAAACTTCTTCTTAAATAAGTGAACCTATCGGCAAATAAAATGTCAAATTTTATTTGAGCTCTGACGTCTCATTAACATCGAATAAGCTCCAGATAATATTTGGTCCGTCCCCAGTGTCCGTATCCAGGATATAGATAATTCGATTCTTCGCTTGAGCACCCATTCAACATATCTTAGATATGCAAATTTTGTACAGCAGCTTTATACGAAAAGGATATATCGAACCGATTTCATCGACCATATCAAGTTAGCTACACAAATAAAACTGACGGATCACAGTACCCTTCAAAGAAAATAGACAGGTAATGGTTTCGTAACTTTATGTGGTAGTACGCTTATTTTTCGCTCAGCTCCTCCCATAAGTGTTTTTCAAGATGACGATTAAAAATTAAAAAAAAAATCTTGCACTTATCGATCTGGCAAGCCTAAATACGACACAGTTCAGTTACGACCTGTCTTTTGTTAAAGTATTAATAGTATTCGTTGTAAGTACCATTCAAATTGAAGTGAGACCAAAGTTTCACATTCAAAAACCTAGTATGTCTCTCTTCTAATCTACACGATAGTTTTCGGGGTGACTCTGGGAGTCAGACCGGTAAACACAGACGAGGCTGTTAAATGTTACATCAGAAACTTCCTTAAAGATATCAAAAACGTTACGTCCAAATCTATTTCAAACTCTGCGTTTTATAAAAAATTAGTCGACATATATGAGAAGTTAGTTGCGATTAGATTTACGAGAAACGTCTCTGAATATCGCCAACTCTAGTCACCACGCAAGTCATTGCACGTTGATGTAGCATGAACCTCCCTCTTTCTATCCTACCGGTCATGTAACGCCTTCGAGTATAGATAAGACCTTGTTTGATAGACCGCTCCATCAGCTTTGCTTGAGAAGTACATTGTGGAGAGCAAACAACTCGACTTAGCCTACCAGCTAGTTCTAATGACATGAGCCTAGCATCAGCTCTGCAATTGGCTCGGATCAATTGTAAAACAAAAATAATAAGAATCTTCTGTAAACAATCTTTAACTTTTTTACTGGATTGCCGGGAACAGAACCTTTTCCGCGCTTCATAACCACTTGTGCCAATTGAGCGATTCTCTGATAAACCCCAATTGTTTGCTACTATTAAAAATTGGACTTACCGTAGGCGCCACCGCCGCCTCCTCCCTGGCGGTAGTTGTCCTTGGGGCCATAACTTTGGTTCTGGCCATAACCGCTGCCACCTCCACTGTTGCTATAACCTTGGTTGTCACCATAGCCACCTCCTGCTCCGCTGCTTACGTATCCGCCCCCATTTTGCTGGTATCTACTGGGTCGTACATTACGCAAAATTGTAGTTAGTAATCGTTGCGATTTTACCCAAGACGTTAGAGCTGTACGAAAATATGTATCTGGACATTTTTCTGACTACAAAGCAACCAAATTTTTTTTAAACTTACCCTCCACCGCCTCCCTGGTTGTAGCCCTGACCCTGAGCCTGGTTACCGTAACCGCCCTGGTTTCGGTTGTAATTGTCCATACCATTCTGGTATCCGCCTCCGTTGTTCTGAGGTCCCCCATATCCTCCGTTCTGTCGATCATTATAACCGTGGTTATTCTGGCCCTGCGGGGGACCGCCCACGTTGTAGTCCTGCTGCTGTTGTTGTTGCTGTTGTTGCTGGTTGTTCTCCCAACGTCCGCGCTTTTGCGCCGGTCCCAGGTTATCGCCTCGTCCACCCTGAGGCGGGCCTCGTCTACCAACGTTCGGTCCCCTCTGGAGGTTTAGAGGACCTCCGGGGCCACGCATTGGGCCACCGGGTCCTCGCTGAGGTCCACCGGGCCCACGCTGAGGTCCACCGGGCCCACGCTGAGGTCCACCGGGTCCACGCTGAGGTCCACCGGGTCCACGCTGCGGGTCACCCGGTCCACGTTGAGGTCCCCCAGGCCCTCCTGGACCCCTGATAGGTCCTCCAGGTCCGCGCAAGTGACCGTTAGGTCCAACTGGCGCCTTGAGAGGGCCTCCAACGCCACGCATAGGTCCACCAGGACCACCAGGTCCACCTGGAAGTCCTCTCATGGGACCACCGGGGCCCCCTGGGCATCGCATGGGCCCACCGGGTCCTCCAGGTCCCCCTGGCCCGCCACGTATTGAGCCAGGTCCACCGGGAGGTCCCATACGACCAGGAGGGCCGCCAGGTCCGCCTGGACCGCGCATCGGGCCAGGGGGGCCAGGTGGACACATACGGCCAGGCGGTCCCCTCATTGGGCCTCCCCCCATGCGGCCTCCACGAGGTCCGCCACGTCCTCGTCCACGTTCCATATTTGTGTTTTTAGTTCCACGCCAGTATCACAACACTGTAGTTTACATGAAAATGATTAAACAACACCGCATTAGCTGCAATAGTTACAGATGTTTCCCCATAGTGACGCTTTTATGTATATACATATATATATATATATATATATATGCCACTTATGATAACTGATTTATGTCATTCCTTTACTCTAAATCTCTCTTTAATATATTCTTTATTTTTCTTCGTCTAGTAGTTTATTCAACGAAGTATATTCCAAGTAGTATAAGCTATATCCTTAGCACGTGGTATTCCAATTCAGCGTTTAACTATACTTGGGGCCTGAAAAACCAGCACTTTCGCTTGATGAATAAATAAAGATTTTTCCTCTGTAGGGAGTTTTTCCTACAGATACAGCATTCGGCTAAACATAGATAGATAGAGAGTAAATCGCTTAAATAAATAGCTAAAGATAGACTTTTTTATTAGCCCTTGATAGATTATATACATAAAGGTATATAAAATCATATCGAAAATATTAAATATCGAGAGAAAAAGATAACTATAGTAGCGTTTACTTTCAGCTCAGTTTATATAGAATTATACATAAGCCCTATAGTGCGTAAACTAATTGCAGGGTTATGTCGTTTTCATGAGGACATTTTTGACCAGCGTTGTGGATAACCCAACAGGTCGCGTGTGCGACTCATACAATAATAAAATCGAAAAAATAGCAGTTAAACATATAGGCTTGCCTTAGAGAAATTCCCAAGCTCGACCACATAAACCAAAACAAATATTTAAGCGATGCTTTCTTTTTGACGCTTGTCATCACTCCTAACTAGTCAGATAGTTTAGCATCAACAGATTAAGCAAGGATCTTTAATCATTCATACAAATAATATGTCGAGTACTGATACTCCTAGAAATCAATTCATTGCTTTAAATTGGATTCTTTGTAACACAAACAAAACGACGGTACCTTCTTTATTATTCTTAAGGAACCTTATACGTCATCGTTTGTTTACTGAAACTGATCACAATCAGCACATGTTATGGACACTAAGGATACGCTATTGAAATCCTAGTGCAGGATGAGCATACACATAGCATGCGATGGCATGAAAACACAAAAGTGCAATACAACAAAAATTGACCATAAAGAGGAAAATATTTCTTGGTTACTGCGTGCTTATGACGATAATAGATACAACATATTCGATATAGTGGGTTTGAAGTCAACTCTAAGAGTAATCAGAATGTGCGGCCATCATGACAAATAAGAGGAACTACTAAGGCCCTGTTAATGACGGGTTCGAAGCGGAGTGAATATGTTTGCTTCCATGACATCACTTTCAGCGCATATCCACAATGAGAACCATATCGCAGTACTTATGTCACCATATTTGCAGGAAAGAAGAACATCACCACCGTAAAAAAGGTCACGAAAAGAAAGCTAAGCCTACAGTCTCGACCTGTTGGTATGGTATGTTAGTAAAAACCTAAACACATTTGGTTTAGATGTATCGGCTTATATTGAGGTAATCTAATTTGTAGGCATGGAAACTGTGCCGAAACCTGCTAGCCCAGCTACAAATAAGACTCAGATCCCTTCGGCGACAACAGCTCGAATTAGGTGAAAATCAGTGCCGGCCAATGACCACGGTGGCATAATTCATATCCCCAGTCGCCATTATTAGTGACACAATGTGAGGCCTCACTCAGCACCGGCCACTGTGACGCCGATCCGTCACTGTTTGAAAGAAAATCTAGTAAATCTGTAACGTACTTAGAAGCATGTTTTCTCGTATCGGTTAAGGGGAACTGAATGATCGTCATTAAACAAGTTATGAAGTACAGAATGAAACATTAGTGCAACATGATATCAACTAGGCCTAACACAGTCAGCAGGTATCTTTACACGCTAACGTTCCGTTTGTCAGTTCGCAAATACTACACATCTTAATATCGAATTGTGCACTGAATTCGTTTCCTAACTACAGCGACGTTTGCTTCAATCACAGTACACAGGAAGATTGTGCGAAAAACAGACCAAAAACTCACCAGAATAGAGACAAGCACAAATCGACGCGGCGTTGGTGCGGTCCTTGATTCACCTGGCGTCCTCCTTAATATCGTTCTGACACCAGCGAACGATCCCACACACAGGATATTATTCACGCAAAAGCTACTGGTGCCACTCTCAAAGCGTCACCGTAGCCGCTGCTATTGTTGATGGTCTTGCAGTGCACATCGACTACTAACGCCTCTGTTGTTGTTGTTGCCGCCGCCGCCGCCGCCGCTGTTGCCGCCGCCGCCGCCGTACCTGCGTTGCTAGCGCGACCCGCGAAATTTCGAAAATGAGTCAGCTAATGCTGTTAGGTGGTACTAGTCCGCATGTACAGCCCTGAATTAGCCCCCGAACTTCGCACAGCGCTAACTCATGGCGAAACTGCAAACAAACCTGAGTGCCTTCTTGTTGTTGTGCGGCTCATTAGTAGGGCGTGGCGGATTGCTACCTGCGCAGTGTTTGTTTGAGCATATTTTGCCCTGGCCGTAGCAAATAGAGGCGTTACGCGGCCAGCGTAGGGCCGCGTAGGGTTGAGCTGTCGTTGGGAGGTGTTGTCCGGCACCATATCGTTTATACTCACTTGCACTTCTTTCTGAAGCACTTAATAGAAAATTAAATATGTAATAAAGGATGCAGGGTAGCATCTACACCATAACGCTTCCGTCATTTTACAACTGCAAGGCAGCCATTACTGCAGTCGATGAAAGATCATTACAGCAAATATTTGCGTAACTGACAGGTCTTCTTGACAGGCCAATTTCATTTGAAATCAGCTGACAGATCAAATAATATGCTGCAATACTAAAGTGAGTGGTCAAAAACAGCTATTTTGTAAAGGAGGCAAAAGATATTTGCTTCGTTGGAACTATCGCGGTGGCTCCTTCCTAACAATAGGTGCAAGCCTTTCTAGAAGAGAAAAAATCGCACAGTAAGTGATTAGTCTCAGTGGCGTTCGGTTAGCTTTGGAAATAACGATTTTCGCTAAGTGGACTAATTGTGTTAAAAGAATCAAACAAAATCTAACTGTAAATGACAGATAGAATTTTACGTATTAGAGATATGGAAATAGAGATGTTGCACCGAACCGAAATATTTGTCGGTAAAACAATATTACAATTGAATGGTTCAAAATGACGTGCCAAAGAACTTCTCATTCCGGTAAAAGGAAAAAGCTGGTAACAGCGAAGGACAATAAGTATGTATACATTAGTTTTAGTAATATTGAATTTGCAGCGTCTGATCAAAACGATCAGTTACAACTTCCTCTAATCAATGGTTATCTTAAGTTGGTAGAAAAAAATCCTATAAAGACGTTATCTTTTTACCATTTGTGTTGGAAGATGTTTCCTGTGTACAGGCGTACTTTTCCTTTGGGTGCCGCCATTGTGAAGTGGATTGCCTTTTTTTTTAGTTTTTTATTCTGAAAATTTCAACAGGTGGTCTCTTAATAAGGGTGAACTTGTGAACTTTCTCTAAATAAAATTTGTAGTCTTTCAATCCAATCGGAAGTGGCGATTTTTAACGATGCAGATTATTCGTATAGCCGATAGTTTGAACAAACAAATCTATCGTGTTCGTTTAATGTAGGCCCATTTCTATTACGCGAAGAATTGTACTGCATTTGTAAGCAGTAATCGAAGTTCATAAATCATTCATGTCGATTATAAATAAAAAAAAAATACAAGTCGTGCAAGGAGCAAATGATTTCTTCAATACAAACGGCATTCGTAGTTGAAAAAAGCAACCGGCGATCAATAACAAAAAATGATAGCTTAAAAGATAAATAGTAGTATCAATTTATGCAGACGCATTGCCGTTTGAAATATATGGTCGACTATTTAGCATTGTCTTGCTGAATGTTTTGCTTTTATCCGAACAAACGGGTTTAGAGATGCTCGCCCATTTTATCAATAACTGTTACGTGTACTAAAGGGTTTCACAATTTTTTCGTTTTTTAGTATTCTAGCAGAGTGAGTCAGTGCATTGGGTGAGGTGTAGTAAAAGATCATCAATCGTTGGAATAGAACAAGCAAACAACCTTCGACTAGTCCCATTGACATTCTGAATGTTTACTTATTTTGGTATTAATGGATTGACTTCACGAAAGAAGAAACACTGGAGCATTTTTCTCTTGCAAATATGCTCCTTTTTGGGATTCGCTTAGGAGGGGATGTTGCCGACGGTTTTTGACGTGAAAAAGGTACATTCTTGTCAATAAGCGCGAAATACGAATATTTTACTTTGTGTTTATATAAATGGAAAATTAATTGCTTATTATCACCTTTGCTATTATTAACTAGCTTATGGTACAATTTCGGTTCCACGCTAAGCTCATTTATAGCACCTGAGGTTAAGAGCATATTAAGCAGCTGTGCAGATTATTCGTTGTTTTAGATACCGACTCTGGGCTATGCGATCTATATGTTAAATGAGGTTCACAGTACAAAATATTTTAGGCTAGTAGCAAATTGCGCTAGTAGATGGTACTACTGTTCGGTACCTAAGGCGGTCTCCGAAACCGGACGTAAGCACACTTCGTTTTGTGTTTTCCGGGACTCAGCGGCCTGACAATGCTGGACTAAGGCAGCGTCAAGCTCAAAACATTTACATTCAGTATATAATCTCTCATGCAGGCAAATGGTAGCTACGCGTTTTTTCAAGCTTGCCATCGAAATCGTTAAATCTGGGGAATATTTTCGATCATTTGATAGCAACGATTTAAGTTGTGCAGGTTTTGTGCCCATAAAATTTGTAGAGTACCTAGCGTCCAAATTATATTATGCTGCGAGCTGTTCGGTTCGGTACCAGGAGAGATGCGACGCGTATGAAAACCCCCCACGTAAAAAGAAACACAAAATCGTGTTAGGTGCTATAAGGTCTTGCGTCTAAAACAAATGTTTGAATGTTTATGTTCGGCATTGCCGTCAAAGAGGCCCCCAAGACCACCACGTCAGGCAAAGGCGTTACCGCTGCAGCATTATAAGGACAGGTATTAAGGTTATGCTGGGGTAAAAGCATACGTCAGTCAATAGCTAAACGTATGACATATAACCTGCAGGTCCATTTTAATATTTTTGGTAACCTTTTTAGCGTAGAAATTCTTCCTTCATTAAATTGTATGAGACTAGTGTAATCCACTTTTCTGACCTTCCATCCAGTGAGATCGTCTTCACTTACGTCGGTTTCAAGCCAATTTGCCTGTCTCGTTATCTTGAAAACACAGAAAGACTCTTGTGAATATTAACGTTCAAAAGTCATTGAAATGATTCTCTATATTTTTATTTCATTTTATAATTCTACATGCACAATGTCATAGCATATTTTTCAAGTAGCTACTGCTTGTCTATTCTGAGATCTGTGTGGAATACGTTGCTCGATAGCATCAGGTCCTGACTGCGCGAATCACAAGACAAAAGACCTTTCTCAGGTAAGCATGCTTTACTTATTTCATCGGTTATGTATCGGTTATGTCAGTGGCGTATTACATATCCATACTGATTCACGCAATTGCGGTACAGAAAAAAATCCAAAACTGTGTATTATTTTCCAGCCGATTATTAAAGATATATTCATTCAATTGAACAGAATATGCTGTCCTATACTGTGTTGCTACGACTGTATGGGTATGTTATCGTGCACAGCTTCGGTACGTGGATATTTATGCGACAGATTTTCAGCTACTGCAATGGCCAGCCAACGAAAAAATTCAACTACGTTAGACAGGAACAAAAGGTAAGAGTACTTCCGCGCGTCATTAACTCTATAATTTAAACACTATGAGATTTGATCAAACATACGTTCAATGTACTTTATAATGCGATCTTCGTCAGCTGTGCTTCTCCTTCCACGCGTTATTTGATGAGCTGGGAAATAAACCAGCGATCCTATGAGTAAGAAAAGCCGACGAATATTTCCGAGAACTAGAGGTTACCTGCTATTCATGGTTGATTTGATCCTCTTTCGTTTATAGTCTGCCAGTTGATTAGCAACGTATATGCTTCAATTGATTTCTACTGTCTTATAAATGACTGTCCACTAATTAAAACGAGACCTTGTGTTGCTGTCAAAAATAGAACAATAGCGGATTGGCCATAGGAAACATTTACGTCGAGGTTCTTTGTATGTATTTTTTACATAAAAAAAGCTGAACATAAAAAACCACAAAATGAAAATGAAAGGATCAAAGCATTTATTCTAACACAAAAGTTCCTCGACCGAGGTCTGATTTGGACCGTCGCCAGCGTGATATCGACCGCCGAGTTCAATGGTTTATGGCACGCCAGTATCGCGCATAAATGGTGAAAACACCAATATAGGTAAATCAGGCGACCTTCAGTAGCAACATGTAGTCCGGCAGCTTGCTTTAGCAATGTGGGCTTTACACGACCCTGCCGTAGGAGCTGGTTTGTTGCTAGATGTTCCCAGATTAACGAGATACCAAATTATGATGTTAGGAATATTTTGAAAACAAATCAAATCAGTGCTGTCCTAGTGAAGGCCTGAAAAGCTTGTTAATTTGCCTTTGCCATTCTTTCCGACGTACGCTTGCCAAATAACACTACAGTAGATAAAGGCCTGTCTATATCGGTTGGCGTATTGTAGACCTCTGGTACCAAAGCGCATCGGAATTCAATGCTTCCATCTTTCGGATAGTTACCATACAAGCAATATGCACATAGAAGCAGAAGGTTGATAGAGGTTGCTGAAGATGTAAGCGACCTTCGCTGACTCCTAAAAGGTTATTTGAGTAGGCAGCAGGCGTATGGACCCGGCTAGCCGGGTCTTGATAATACCGGGGAGGGTCACAGAAAGTGTCTAAGGCTATTATCAGCAGTGACTCAAAAACTTGACCGAACAACGGGAGTTGAGCAGTATTACCGTCTATTGCAGTCCACTTCTCCTGTACAAATGAGTTTCTAAGCGAGTCTAAATTGGACCGAGTTTATTGTTTTTATTACTAGTGCCATCTTAAATGCCACTCAGAAATCTACCAAGATGGTATAAAAACATAGATTTCTACGAATGTTCGCCACCTAGTTCCACGGCAACAGCGCTCGCAACTAGTGAAATTTGTACTGACGCAGAGGTATCCTATGGTAGATACCGTATTGTTTTGTTTTTCATTAGTATACGAGGGTAACCGTGCGCAAACGAACTGTGAGAGACTGCAAACGGACTTAAGGTCAACAGTAACCTATGGATGGTTTCGACTGAAAAAGGCACCGAGTTACGATAGTCAGTGTCGCTAGTTAAACTTAGACCCATTGACCATTATCTCTCTGTGCACTTGTGCCCAAAGAAAGTTCCCGGAGTTTAAGTGGCTTCGACGTTTGATTCAAGTCCGGCTAAAGAATATGTGATTTCTGGGACAGTACAAACCGTTCTTTTCGTTAGTCAAAGGAACGAACTGCTGACAGCAGCCCGCATATTCAGTTCTGTTCATATCCAATACGACGCACTGCTTCGAGCATAGCATAAAAAGAACGAGCGGGTAAATATTGAACGTGGTTGAGTTGTGTAATGGAGCTGCTACAGCGGTTATATCAGGTACTCCGATTAGTTACTCTTTTCACTACTATAAAACATTCGATACATAGCTATGAAAGACGATAGGTCTACAAAACCCAAAATACTTTAGTACTTTGGCTGTTGCTATTTCAGGTGTTTATTGTAACCGGTGGTATGGGCGGAATTGGTAGAAAGGTCGTTGAGCGGCTTTTGTCACTTGGGTCGTTTGTCATAATAAGTTAGTACTCAAACAGAACATTCATAATGCCATATAATTAGAAAATGTATTGCATTAACATTTACAATACTGCGTCTACTTCTTAAGCAAGCCTAGCAGATATACTATATATGTTAGAACAATGAAGTTTAACTCCTTTAAATGGGTTGAAATTAGCCGAAGACGTATATTACTCTCAATCGTCGAATAAGCATTTCTAAAAGTAACGCATGAGCGTAACGTCGGGGGTTACGTATCGATCAAGATTCATATGTATTATGTCTCTGGGTTTGAACACGCGCGTTCGCTAACTCCTGATAAATTCGTTCAGGGTGCTCTTTCTGATTTTTACTATAGGAAGACGCATTCTATCGAACCTGCGATGCTTTCTTCGGCGCAGTTCAACCAGAGTTTCGAGCTTTTACTGCTACCCGGATCGCAGCCGCTGTCGATACGTATAGATACGCACGCGTCTCCATTCTGTGTTAGGCATAAGTTGAAGGCGTCGCTGGCCCAAATTGCCAGTGCGCGTCTAGTACGCAACTTTTATGTTCAGTCATTTCCAATTGCTATTATTATTATCTTCTAGCGGGTCGAAGGTCGGAGAAGGATTTATCACTCAGACAGTCGTTTGAGGACATCTCTAAAATATCATCGCGTTATCAGTACTTCAAAGTTGATCTCGAATCGATGACAGATACGGTCCGTTTCTGCGAGGAGGTCAACGTCTCATTTAGTCGACTGGACGGAATCGTTTGTAACGGTACGCCAATAATATTCGAATTAAAATTTAATAATTGGAACATATAGAAGCGAAGAGATAGTTCGCCATAGCTATCAACTATAGAAGTGCAACGATGACGCCAGCCTAGAGAATTGCTAAAGTACAATCGAATACGGTCAAAGCCAAAGTTTAAATCATTCATGCTTTTAGTCCTCGTCCTTATCACGCGCCCAAAATGAGTCTATTGTCAAATAGCCATTATTCGTTCGACCATTTTTTGGCTGAACGCCATCAAGGTATATATTGTGAATATAGCAATAATAGCTCTGGTAGATAGTCAAAAGTTGTCGTGTTACCGGTTATATTGCCATACCTCACTCAAACAATTTGTTTATTCTGTCAAATTGTATATAATATGAATGTTGTGGTCTTTTTCTAGCTGGTACATTGGGAGGATCATATCGCCTCACTTCAGAACATTTCGAATCGCAGCAAGCAGTCAACTATTTATCACCAATTGTAATAATAGATCGACTTAAGGCTAAACTGAAGTCTACGAAACAGGGAAGAGTCGTGCTCGTTACCTCAGCAGTGCATTATGTGAACTTTTGCAACTTAGACGACTTCATGTTCAAGTACGTAGCTAAACGAACAAACTAGTTTCGTCAAAGTGTGACCTGCAGTTGGTTGAATTTCTCGGCGAAGTGCTACATTTTTATTATTTTTTTTACATCATTTTATCATTTATTTACATTACATACATGAACTTTTTAAATCTTAATTTACGGGCATCCTACTAAAAGTATGTACATACTGAAGCAACTAAGATATTTTACCGAATATGGGGCAATTTAAATCACAAAGGCCTTACGGATCGTATATATATATATATATATATAACACACGAGTCTGTGCTCATACTAATTGGGGAAATGCGCCGGTAACGTAGCAAAGGCTACTGTCCTTATTTAGGCTACGTCCAGTCAAAACTTGCACTCGTGTCATACGCACGTCATGTTGGACCTAGCCTATTCCAGAAATATGGCTTCACTGTCAATGCAGTTCACCCAGGAATCGTAAACACGGGTCTCTATGGCAGTCTACTGATTAAAACTATCGGACGCATCACTTTCATTGTAAGTTGACAACATACTCAATCCTTCGTCGTTTCACCAAACATATATTTTCAATATTATGTAAACTGAACAAATGTACGTAAACATAATTTAACGATACCTTTTGCTAGTTCGCGGCATCAACCTGTAGCAACGTGCAGATGTGTACCCAATAATAGTTACCTAAACGCACGTACCTAATGCAACGTTGAAATTTCTTTCAGAGTCCAATGACAGCTTCAGAGACCATACTATTTCCTCTGCTTTCAACAACGATGGAAAACGTAACGTGCCAGTACATGGAAAACTGTCAGGTTGTACCTCCAGCCAAGAAAACTATGGACAGCAAATTTAACAGACAACTCTACGAACTAACGAGACATCTGCTAGCTCCATGGTTGTTGGTAGATCAATAGGGTGGCTAGGCGAGAAGTATTTCCTGCAAGCTGCCCTGATGATGCAAAAAGAAGAAAGTCCTTGGTAGGTTAATGATAGATCTAGCTAGATTTGCTGTCACGGAACCTGCCACGTTCATAGTTCGCATATAGCAGTTTATAGGAACGATCCACTGTTTTCGAGTAGTGGGTCTTCTACGCCAATTTCTTAGCTCTTTCCCGGCGATTGTACACTGCATGTCTTTTTTATTTAGAAAAACCAAGGGAACAAGTAGATGGTTGAATAGGTCGAAGTCATTTTTGCCACCACACGTAATTCAAGTCGTTCCTATATCGAAATTAACATAGACTGCCAAAAATGCACTGGCGTGTCTTAAACAAAAAAAAAAACTGTAATTTCAAGAGGACTATAGAAAAATAACGGTGTCACAACAGCTTTATCGCGGTACATTCGACTCGCTATTGCTCTGGTCTAAATCCGTTTGAATAAAAAGGGTGTCCCGTCAAGTAGCTAGATCTACAATCGACACCAAATTAACTTTCCTATTCAGTCGTTCAGCTGAGTTTACGAAAGTAACTTTACTCGTATGTGCGATATTGTTGCTTTGGCACCTTTTGTGTAGCAGCTGTGAGCGTTGGCAGGGAGTAACGCTTCACGAATTTATGCTGATCTCACGAAAAAAAATGCTCGTCCACAGGGAACTGTACTGGTGGGCGCTTCTGACAATATTTGTCTGTAAATAATACACTTAAGCCGATCAAAGTAGCATCACGTGGATGTAAACAGATAAGTTTGTATAGAATGAAATTAGAAGAAAAATAGAAGAGGAAATATTGCAACCTTGTCCCTGTTTGAACTTTGTTGCTTAGGGATGCGGTATGTACAGCCTTCTCTGTGCGGTATTTATGTGGTCTGTGGTATAGCAGAATATATATTGAACAAAAGAAACCGAGTTTTTTTCAGCACTCTTTCCTATGGGTCTTAGATGGGCGTATGGTAATAGCGTATGATAATAACTATATTCATTAAGCACTGGGACTTGAGCAGTTCCACCAGTTTCACAATAGTGACAAAGCAAGTATATCAACATATACAGTATTTTATACGAATGTTTTCAAGGTGTTTGCCAAAGCATTGTCTTACGTACCGTCTTCTCAGCGAACAATGAACGAATCATGTAATAAATTCAATTAATTAAGTTAAAAAATGAGTTCAAAGTTAGTTCGACAAACAATTGTTTATTTATATCTTTTTCATGGTCAATGTATGCATCAATCAATGTCTTTTACTCTCTCTTTGTGCAGCTATTTGCCGCAAGTAAACACTTTTCATTAAAGTACTATTATTATTATTATACATAGTAAAAAGCGTCGGGGAACTGAAAGCTCGTTGTGAGTCGAGTTTCTTATATAAATGGCAGGCGTTGTCTAGGATCAATGGCATAGCTGGCCGGGTCTCGTGACGAACTGGTTAACAATGGTATGGGCAGACAGTTTTAACTAGTTCGTCCAATATCAACCTTGACGTCTCGTCGCAGAATTCTATTAGAATATCGTAATGTTGTGACATCTTCTCGAAGCACCGCTCTTTACAACATTCTAAAATAGCCTTTAGCGTCAGGAACACCTGTGGGATTGTGACCGAATTCAACGCGTTTTTTTAGAGCCTATTATTACTATGATCCACGATTTCTCTCGCGATATTAAACTGATTAAATACTCAATTCAGATTTAAAAGAATATTATGAATAATGAAAAACATTTAATATTAACTGTATTGTAAACACCTCAATTTCCATATGTTCATCGGGCTCCCCTTTGTATCGTTCAAACAAGGCACTCTGCGCCTGACTTAGGTTATGCTCTGGCGGTGCCAGAAGTGCAGCTAATAGGACCAGTGCAATCTGCACCTGCTGATGTGTATGCTCCAAAGAAGCCCGTTCCATGTGTGCATTAATAAGCGAATCCAATTCATGGAAAGTGATTTCCGCCGACTCGAACTCTGACAGTTTTACCTAAAAAAAAAACGCCATTTTACTGGATGACTGTATCGATGCTGCTTAATCTATCATGTTCAAGTAGTATGGGATGGTAAATCAGCTTTATGCTTATCGTACGTGGAATGGTAGCATCATGGTGGTCATCATATACCGATTCAGATTTAATGACATTGAATAGGATTGACCAAATATAATATTGATTATTATAAATAACACGTTTGCAACACGAACCGATATGACAGCACAGTCTATTTAGGATAAGATAATGGTTAGCCGAACTTCGTTAATTTTCAGTAAACATGAGTTACTTCAACTTATATAGTAATCGTCTTCGTAAGTTGTTGGCTAAATCGCTCCTGTAGAAGCAGTTACTTTTAGTACTGTTGGTGTAGTCAGAGTTCCGTTAATTAAGCACTGAATCTTTCCGAATTTTTCATAACCTTATCATGGGGCTATAGTGATTGCAATCGATCATTGTCGTCCATACACTTATGGGCCCCATAAAGCTAAGATCAATTTCTCTATGATTATTCGCTTTGCGTAGCACATACAGTAGTCGTTAAAAAAAGCTACTACATAAACACCTTTGCTAATATAGGACGAACGAATGAAAGGATAGCGACAAGTAATTGTAAGCACATATCTATGGAGTACGTAAGAGAGTCGTTAATCGACAGTTTTTTTTAAAGGTATTCCGCAGTTGTACATAAAATTGGGTCGATATAAACCGCTTACCTGTGACTTGGCAAGTAATAGGAAGCATTCGACTTTCAGCACCGTTGATTCAGGCCACTTTTGGCACGCGCGCTCAAGAAACCATAGCGATTCTCCGAATCGCTCGAGTTGCTGTAGCTTTGAGCCAGCTTCGTAACATAATGAGCCCGCCATACCTTCTGATCCTAATCGCAGAATGTAGATAGAATTCATTGTTTGAGCAGGTCTAAGTTTTTGATCATTAATGTATCGTTTCACAGTTATCGTTGCAAAATGGAATTACCACAAAACACTAAACACATAATTTTTCTTATTTGATATTTTACCGCGATTCGGCAAAGGTTAGGCGGATATTGTTTCGGATTCCATGTGAATAACAAAGCATTTTGATGATTTGTTTACGGAAACGTTTAAAACAGTAAGTGCTCAAGGCTGTTTTATTATTTCCGGAAATTGTCAAGATTTAGCGGTTCTATTGAATTTTGAAAATAGAAGAGTGGTTGCAAAACTTTGCTTACCAACCTTTGTTCACTTCGGCTATTTTTTCGTAGGTGCAGATTGCTCGATGGTAACACTCGAGCCCGTTGATCAAATGATCCTCTATCGATGGCATACACAGCTTTTTAAGATTTAGCTCCTCTTTCATGTATGTTCTGGAAGATGATCCCCCGATTATGTAAACCGTTCAATCCGTTATTCCATTTTTCAGCGAAATAATCCCGTGGTCGAATGCCGCGTATATACCTATTTCTAATTCTACAAAATGTATACAAAGTACAGGCCTTTTCCAAACTCTGGTCTGCCGTCTACTATTACCGCAATTAAGATAAAAAATATTTCTGTTCGGTATTATAAAAAAAATTAATTTCTAATGAGAGTTAGGCTTTATTTTATTATATATATATATGTTATTGTTGTACTAATATATAATAAATAAGTGTTATATTAACTATTTGCTTCCAGGCAGCCTAGTATGATGCGCATTACGTTAATTATTTTTCGTCGATCAAAATACAAAAGAATATTAGGGGCCTATGGAGTTTCGAGACTAACAGAACTCACAGTAATACATAGGGCGAGCCTATTGAGGCCTAAGCAGGCTATGACAACGTACCTAGCCGCCTTGGTATAGTTTTCTGCCGCCGCTCCCAGTCGTCGAATGTTTGTGTATACATCAGCAGCAGCATTCCAGGCCATCGCAGCACCTTCTGGGAATTCCAATTGCAGTTCGCGGACCGCCAGAAGCTGTCAAGGTAAATCACAGTACCTGTTGATTGAGTAAGCTACCTAGTGGAGACTGTTGCCTTTTTGCGTTGATAGTTCTAATACAATTGATATTTCAATACACAATAGCACGCTGTAAACCTTGCCGTATATTTGTATAATTCACTGATAGTATAATATATTTAGTATTTTTTACTTCGATTGTGTGGTTCGAATCAACGTAAATGGGAAATTTTCCGCAGATTATTTCGCATTTAGAGTTAAATATTTGTGAGTGTACCTCATAACTATGTGCCGCGTCGAGGTATAGGGGCTTCCTTAGAAATCTCTTCCGAAGTTTATCTCGTATCTGGGCCATACTACGAAGGAACTCGTCCCCTGAAGGAGCCATGGTGGCTGTCGAAGACCGGCGGCTCTCCATCTGCAATTTAAACTATTTTTTAGCGTTTAATACTCATCACAACGATAGAAATAGTTGTATGAATAATAAAAAACAAGCAATTTTCTCACATTAGTTCGTTACCGAGATATAACAAAATCTGTAACGCGTCAGTGGGCGTTCTCTGTAGACAGGAATACGTACTGTTTACCAGTTATTCAATGTCTGTCATTTATTTCGCAATGCAAGAAGCGAGTGCTTGTTGCATTGCGAAATAAATTAATATCTTAAAAGGCGTTTGCGACTTGAAACCATTTCAATTTTTGTGTTCTTTTTTGTTTTTCAGTAAAATGACTGAAATGATTGTTAATATGTTAACTGTTCGATCGAACGATCGATGAAACATCACACACGGCACAACAAAATTGCTTACAGAGGAAATCAGCTATCGAAATGATTCATTAATTTTTAAGCGCATTCAGTAAGCAATTCCAAAACACACTTTAAATTAAAGGTAGCCTCCATAAAAACCGGAGTATTTCATGTAACGACTTCATGTAACGACTTATTCAATGCGTAAGCTTTCGATTAATAGTTTATTAATATTGCTTAGTAATAGAACTTACTTTAATCGATTTTTGACAAATGAAAGGACCGATTCTTATGCAGCGTGTTCTTGCGATAAAAAGATACAAATGGTAGAAGGTGCATGCATTTTCTACCCTGTCGCGGATTTTTCAAGTAAATATTTTTAAAGTCACTGGTTAAAACGACTTAACCAGTTCGCTATATATTGTAGTATGCTATCAGATGATATAGATGAACAAATGTAACACGCAAGCACTCCCTGTCACGTATCGTCAGCGATCCACCAGTTGCCCTACAATCATTCTATACGCGTGCATGACGAATGGAATCTTTTAAAAAGATGTAGTGAATCGCCTAATTAGGTCATGGTATTACGTAAACACTATCAATTGCATTTCTTTATATGGTTTTTCTCTAGTATACAATATATCGTCGAATTTCACTTGAAATGGGTTTCAAGAATGCCGAAGGAGGGCTCATGAGCCCTATGGAAGCGGCCATATTGGATTTCGCCAAATAAATAACTCAAATCCAATTTTCAATGCAGTTGATTCTTTCGACGAAGCAACATACAACACAAGGTAGCATAATTCGGTAAGATTTATTAACGAAAAAGGACGCAGAATGAAAATAATGAGAAATTCAATTTTGTCTGTCGTTATGCTGAAAACACGCTACTGTCGCGCCATCTAGTGCTGATTTCGGTAAACTGTCTGCGTACTTAATTTCGCCTACTAACGTCCTCTCTTTCTCTACGATGTTATCCCATTGCTAGCAGGGTGCGTGTTATAGCAGTGCTGTGCACTCGGAAACCCGTCGTCACCCGTCCCTACACGGACCGATTTTCGAGGACATTCTTAGTCAACTTTCCCACTTTTATCTGCCTGTCTTTTTCGTGGCTGTGCTTCTGAGCGAAAATCGACATTTACAATGGGCGCCGGAAAAATGCTCGAAGACTGCGGCACCATCTGGCTCGAAAAGTACAAATATGTCGAGGCCGAAACCCGCTACTACCTCTGGCTACAGAAGAAGCTCTATGGGATCGATATCGAGGTGAGTGAGCTCGACAGTCTGCCGAATGTCTATGGGAAATAGTGGCAGTGTAGATAGTTTAAGCATCGTGAAAAAATGAATTGGCCTTAATAACGTGTGATCGCTAGCGTATTATGTGACTCATATGATACGTATTGTGTATCGCCGGACTCCTTTCAATGGATGGGATCCCCTCCCTATTCGCAGTGTGTGGGGAAACAGTTGAGTCATCATACCTCCCCGTATCTCACCCTAAGCCCATTCATACTCAGAGATTGGGTTTAGCTACGTGAAACTCCAGTCGCCGGCAATGTGTTAGCGAATTAGCTGACAGTCCTGCTCGGCCAGCTGGTGATTACGATTTCAGCCACTGTTCGATTCAACAGCAAGGGGTGGTGATAGCCTGCTTTGTGTTAACGAAAAAGGCTCTTTGTGTCCTTGTGTTGTTACTGCGGCTCTATGGCTGCTGCTGTTAACGCTGCCATTGCGGCTGTTTGTGGAGAACTGGTGTCCTGCCGCCGGTGAACACGTGCTAGCACAACGGCGGACGTGGAGGTAGCCATGACGTTTTTACAGGTAGACCTTAACTCTCGGTCCAAGGTAAAAAATTTAAGCGACTAGAAGCAGTGAGCGGCGTTAACATTTTAAAACTGATTTTAATACTGGAAATAGTGGTAAACTTTATGAGCTTTTTTTTGTATAACGGTGTTTGTATGTATGTGTGTGGGTGCGTGTGTCAGCATCTCGGGCTTATGAATTATCACCATATTTTATTTGTTCTATGGTTGTTGTATGGTTAAGTGTTGGAACGAAAATGACGTTTTTAATAAAAACGTGTCATTGCCTTAAATTTTAAGCTTAATTGACAAATTAGCAGTGTATTGATCGAATTGACACGTAACTCTGGTCGTAATATGTTGTCGCTGGAAAATATTTAATGATGAAGTTCTGGATCGTAATAAAATTTTGTGGGGTCTGGGGACGTTATTAACTTACGAACCGCTATGTTATTGTGGAGCTATGATATAAACTTATAAGTTTGTATCATGGCTCGGCAATAGCTATATCATAGCTAATTATTATAAGTTTTAGCAAATATATGACCTATATCTTGTTCTGATATATATCTCGCCTATTCAGTTATAATAAATAAAATAGATAGTGGAATCACTGTTGGGCCTAGCATATCAATCTTTTCGTTTTTTAACTAGGGTTGTCCTCTCAAGCCACGCGTTTTTGTCATCAGCGATATATCTCTATGCGATAACACACATTTACACTTCGCGAGAGAGATAGTAGACCTACGATGCTTGGATTATGATTAAAGTTAGTCCACTATATTGTTACTATTAGGACGTGCTTTTTTATTTCGCCAAACAGTATTTAGTTTCAGAGTTTACTTAGCCAACCTCGCTATTATTGAGGATGGAGTTTTGTTCAATTACTATTGCGCGACTTTGCGAGATTTCGTAAAAACAAGCTTTAATAAGGCGGTTCTGTAAAAATTAAAGTTGAGCAAACGGCGTCATGTCAGCTTTGTTTGTCTGTCCTACAAGCATGTACTCAGTGGGGCTCTGAAAAGTTCTTATTATTGTTACCGTGGGTGATTACTTTCTGTGCGAACGTATAAATCCTGTAGAATTTGTGTGCAGGCTTGTTGCTACATGTCGCTGTTTGTTGTTGTTGTTGTTGTCGCTGCTCGTGAATCGTCTCCGTTGATGCTGTGTTACCGTGTACTTGTTGTCGTTATTGTTGTTGTCGAGTGATGTGAATACAATTGGCGAGGGGAAACAGTGCGAGTGAGTTTTGTTTGGTGTTTTTGTGTACTGTTGTATTTTTGGCAGGATACTGCGGTGCCACGTACTTCGTCTGCTCCATCCCCATCCTTCTCCGCGCCCCTGACTGCATCGAGCACAAGTAACAAAACGGCAACGCTACCGAATCCACCGTCGTCAGCAGCACCACCAGCAACAGCGGTAGCAGCAGCAGCAGCAGCAACAACAACAACAACAGCAGCAGCAGCAGCAGCAGCAACAGCAGCAGCAGCAGCAACAACAGCAGCCGTAGCAGCAGCAATAGCAATAACAACAACAACAACAACAACAACAACAGCAGCAGCAGCAGCAGCAGCAACAACAACAACAACAACAACAGCAGCAGCAGCAACAGGAACAACAACAACAACAACAACAACAACAACAACAACAGCAGCAGCAGCACCAATAGTCCCAAAGGGTTCGACACCTCTCTCCGCTCAGATTGCCGGCGCCCGACAGCAGATAAGAGAATCGCTCGCAGTGAGTAACGAATCTGCCAGCTCCTTTACCGTCAACCTTTCCGCCCCTTCCACTACTACTGCCACCACTACTTCTATTAGTAGACAGTCATCAGCTTGTGGTGTCCAGGCGGTTAGCTCCTGCCGTGCTGCTCAGGCACCTTCAACCCATGTATCTAACAACAATAGCAACTCGAAGGCGGCTGTGCAGCCTTGCGCCGGCTGCACTCAACCACCCCGCGCTGGTTCGGTGGTCCGTCACGCCAATTCGTGCCCAGCCGTCGCAACCCCACAGCCGCTGCCGACTAATGCTAAAAAGAAGCGCCGACATCGAAACCGCAGCCGACGAAAACGTTCGAAATCGGCGCGCCCGAGTTCATGTTGTCAATCGGTGTCACCGGGAAGCATGTCCGTGGCCTCGAACGTCAGTTTGCCGCCTCGGGCCCAAGGGGTAGGAGAAGGTGGAACAAGTAGACACACGCACGTCCAGCGCCGGTTACAGTTTCAGCTGAAAACGCCGCCAGACGGCGTCCTCTCTCGCGGATGGGGGTTTGGCAGTTTCAACGCTGAGACCAAACTGCTCTGGGCGGTGTTAAATGTTATCGGTTATTTGAGTTCTCTTGCCCACAGTCCTGCATCAATCGGTTGACTTCGTTAACAGTAGACGTATTCGTCTATATTTTGGTTCGGTTCTGGTTCAGCCATTATCGTTGAACAACTGAGTTCAATGTAATCAGATCGCACTTTTTTTGTTGCGCGTTGTTATTTGCATCGTTTCGTTAAACTTATTGAGTTCCTTTTAGCTTTTCTTTCTGCGGGCCGGTACAGCTGATTAGAACTCAAGTACAAGGCACTGTCTCGATAGTCAGGGACGTACTTTCATTTCTTTCGCTGTCATTTAGCGGTCAAACCGGGAATGCTCGAAAGCGGGATTGTTTCTATGCATTTTCACTCCGTTCAGTTTAGTGATATCTCAGGTATTCCAGTTAGCCGGTTGGTTCGATTGGAAGCAGTTATTGGCCGTATCGGATTTGTGTTTCTGTCAAGCGCTTGCGTTGCTTGTGTACCCAGTTGAGTTAGTAATCGCATGAATTTAGATTTTACGCTGATTTAGATGCTTACGTTATATCGAAATCGTGGCAATGGCGACACGCAGTTGCATAATAATTGAAAATTAATTTTATTTGGCTCAATTTTTCGACGTTCTATTTAGCTTGAAAATACTATTTCGTTTATTTGGTTAACTTTTGATTTTTTTTTGTTGCTTTGAATTATGTTTAAGACACCATTTCGAATATCAGTGCTATTTTGTTAACTTCTGTCAATACGACGATTTCAGGGCGGCGATATGGCCACGACGCAGCAAGTAGAGGAGCTTAGGAAGAGTAAGTTTCCACTTTTTTATGCTAAACTATGTAAAAAGAATTCGATTAAAATGGGGTTCGATACCGGTTGAATGTTTAACGGACATGTTTCGTAAGGAGATAGCTACTTATAGACTAAGCAGTGCAGTGCACACGATTTGACATTTGCCTCCACTTCAGTGTTTTTTTTTTCGGATAAACTAGATCGCTAGGAGAGCGAAAATAAAAGAAAATGACAGAAATCATATCGTTTGACGCTTACGTGGAACTGTTGTTTTTACCTGTTTTCAGCTGTGGACTACCTTGTCGATGCATTGAAGAAAGTTGAACTAAGAATGTCTACTCTCGAAGAGGCGTGTTCATGTGGGACCGCGCAGAGAGCTGACGCAAAGCTCGCCACCGTACCCGCCAAAGAGATACCAAAGGCACCCGTAAAAGAAGATGACGATGACATTGATCTTTTTGTATCCGACGATGATGAAGAAGCCGATGCGGTCCGCCAGGAAAGGTCAGTAGAAGCGCATTAACATAGCGTTATCTCTTCTCTCACTGAGTTATACGGGGTGAACCTCTGTGCTCTATGGTATGTAACTGCAGACTTTCATAACTGAGAATCTCGAATGAACTTAACGCTGAACAACAATGGCAATCCTATACCCGTAATTTGTATACTTTATTAAAGAGAACCTTCGCTACCAATAAACATGCAGTACCAGCATACCTCTCTGTACATGCAGTGTCGTAAAAAGGTCACTGTAAGAAAAATTAACCTAGTACAAGTCTGAGATAGAATACGGTGATTTTTTTCTACAATATAAACACGTCTAAATGTTTTTTCGCAGGCTGAAAGCGTACGCCGAGAAGAAAGCCAAGAAGCCTGCTATTATCGCTAAGTCATCAATCGTTTTAGACGTCAAGCCGTGGGATGACGAGACTGACATGAAGGCACTAGAGAGCTCTGTCCGATCAGTCGCGATGGATGGACTTGTGTGGGGAACGTCGAAACTTGTGCCGGTCGGTTATGGCATTAACAAACTACAGGTCGTCTGCGTCGTGGAGGACGACAAAGTTTCTATCGACGAACTAACAGAAAAGCTGACCGAATTCGAGGACTACATTCAATCCGTCGACATCGCCGCCTTCAACAAGATTTAAGAAGAAAAGGCCAAATTGTCTGTCTACGGCAAGCAACCGTATATAACCGTTAATAGGACAAATTCGACATCCACCACTTAACTGACCACATAAATGCAACTTTAGCAATCAAAAAAAAATCAAGAAAAAAACAAAATACAAAAGACGTAAGCACTACGAATGTTTCTTGACGCATTTCGTCAGGTGCGTCAAGATGGTCAGACACAGTTGGATAAGTCTAGCTTTGTCTATTATGGTTACAAGCACTCCTGGCATCCTCTGATGTTCTCTCATTATAATAATAACTCGTTTAAAAATGTAGAGCGAGCAACTGACTCAAGCGCGAAGCTCAGAAGGAGATGTATGACCAGCTAATTCAAAATAAAACTGCTCTTCATGATGATCCAGCAAACGAAGAAATTTTTGCTAAAAAGAATGCGACGAAAAAAATTAAAACTTTTTAAAATAAGGACCCCTTTTATGTACATCGCTGATTTTACGTTTTAGTTAGATATCTAGTGTGAACCAGCGGTTTGGCGATTGAAGAAATATTACTTCAAACGATAATCACTTGAATGCTATGAATAAAAAAAGCTTTTTGTCAGAAACGCTTTATTATCCTTGTTGAACAAAACCATTGATTGGTAAAAAAAAAACGTTCCTTGAGTAACTAATTGGCAATATTTAGCGATCTTCGACATTTGACATGACAAGGTAAACGACTAGCTTATTGCAATCTGCGTTTTTAAGGGTCATGACCTTTCTAACTTTATTTATTTCCAAAAAAACATCAAAATCAATCACCGAAAATGTTTTTTAGCACTTTTTTTTAGTGGTCCGGTTGTTACTATTGCACGTTTCCGATCATCAACTTCGATGATTCGATTTTTCTACAGTAATCTGGTAGACAATATAGTCGAGAATAATTACACGCCTTGAATATTCAAATCGTTTTTCCAGTGAGAGCGACATTGATGTAAAGCACGGAGTAGTATCTATTGGTATTGTATAATATGGACATTGCCATTTTCGTCACGTGCTCTCCGACGTAACCGAACAAGATTACAACAAAATAATGGCCAATCTAAAAAAAGCAAAGTACCAAATAGGTATATCCGTCAGAAAAATGTGGATATACACGTATTTTGTTTACGGACTTGACTAGGATACATACGATTCATCTGAAGATGATTTTTGCAGAGTCGAAACAGCCCGCAGGTGATTTTCTTTCGTTGTCGATAACTAAGCTTTATTTAGTAATTGCGAATAATAGGATATTAACACTCCTGTTAAGCTGCTCAAATGTTCCACTTTTAAGCGAAGCACAATTTCGAATTATAATAAAGATTTTAATGGTAGCCTGCCCAACACGGTCTTGACTATTCGTCTTTGGTAGTGGCTTCGCCTTCACGAAAGAGGTATGATGGCATCATACTGGTACGTTGCTGTCGAAGACATGACGATTGAGTCCTAGTCGATCGGTCGGTTTCTTCCACGCCTGATGTGTGACTCAGCTGTAAACATAATTTGTTTGAGAAGACTCTGTGGCGACAGATTGGTCTGAGCTAAAGTGAATTTAGCTCCGGAATCAATCGAGAAATATCTATAGGCCACGCGCATTTTTCGAAAGCATTTTATCAAATCAAGACGTTATTACAACTTTAAACTAAAAGCTATTAATTAACGGCAGTATTAATTGGTCAGGCAAGACCAACTGTTCCAAACGATCCACAGGTTTTATTTCGTTACGAAGGTAAATGTCTTTCTAATATCTTTGCTTTGCTTTGCAAATCAAACCTGCTAAAAGGGACGGAGCTAGTAAAAATAGGAATGGTGCATCTCTCAAATCCTGAGCAGCAGAACCCAAGTTTTCAAGATGATGGTGCGCGAACATTAAATATAATTGTCATCAGAAGCGTCATCCTCGTCATTGTCGTAACGTTATTATTATTTACAGTTAGCGCAATTATCAGTTTGTAGGGCGCGTGAAATGCAAGTATGTTATCAGATACAGTTTTTCCAGTTCAATGAAAGGATAAACTTCTGATGCGATACGCTTAGAACCAATTTGATTTGCAAATATTAAATAAAATGCTTATACGTACTGCAAATTAATGGGGATTTATTATGAATGAAATAATATTTGAATTTTTTTAATCGTTTGTTATTGTAGTCATTTTAGTATGTAAGACCATTCTAAACCTGTCATCTACGTACGTGGCTGTACTTCGTCTTTTTCTTACTTAATTTTAATGCCTTTGACATTGGAAGTATTATGCTAAGAAAGAGTTTACTAAACAATATTGAAAAGTGGTAAATAGTTTTCCTATGTCCGTCCTAAGATTCTTACCAAATTTCTACATAGGCTTTCCATATGTCGTGGTTATCTCGAGTTGTTCGATAAAGGGTGAAGTTCCGCTCATAGTAATAGAAACATTGATTTTCCTGTAAACTGGCTAGGACGGGCCACAAATCAGAACACATATTTAGTAGTATCTACATTATAATAATCGAGCATTTCCATACCTTCTAGCGTTGAGTGATTATGTAAACATATAGTCTTGTAATATTTCATAGAATAGTTGACTGCATTTAAATGCATTCAGAATCAGAGATAAGGCGATTTTTGGAGCGTGCTTGAAGCTCCGGTGTTCAGAGGTAAGATTTACGAGCGCAATTCCTTTCCGTCACAGCCTATTCACATCTCACTCTTAGGGCCGGTTAACTGAACCGTTGAGGTCGAGAGACCGAGTTTTGGCATGTCTAATCCCCGTTTCCACGAAGACCTTTTGTCTAATGATTTTGGCCGATGGCCAATAGATTATATTCATCAATTATCTTCTGAAGTGGTGTCGTAAGTATACGGTGATGTAGCAATAAACATGAACAGTGAATTACTAAATGAAAAAAATGCATACTGTTTTTCTAGTTATAGTTAAAGTTTGTGAAAAACATGTTGGAACAACATTGTCACTTCAAGTTTGAATATATCCCATTAATTTTTTTTGCTACAAGTTAATTTCGAATGTAACTTCTACCTACATATTTTTTGCAAACATAAATATAGGTTTTTACGAAGTCATTCTCATAAGATCTGATACTGTTTTTCTGTTTTCATTGTCGTTTATATATATATATATAACAACTTCATTTTTTGTCCTTTACTTGAAGATTTCGACGTCGAAATAGTACCACTTCATATAGGTGGTGTTTAGCAGGGCATTTGCAACCACCATGAGGATGTCGCAAGCCTGAGAAACGTTACCAGCGGAAGGCGCGCCAATGTATTTAAATATTCTGAGGTTACATAAAGAAGCCGACATGATGTGTCCGTATCAGCCCCTCGCCGCTGGGTAATTCTTTTAAATTAGCTGTAAAGTTAGTAGCTGCTAGTGGTAGATTTCGTGCTATAAGGTTCGCGCAAATTGGACCCGGTTCTGTGTTGTTGAATCGTTGAACTGTTCGCAAAAGGAATTGTCGGGCCAGATTTGTCAACCCCGCTCCTTTTCAACTTTGGGCATAAACAGAACCTTTCAAGGAGTTACTCCATCTAGAGACAATGCTTAGATACTTCAGTAATCGATGCGACTTGTCATTAACAAAGATGTGTTGCCAGGTGCAATTATCGACAACGACAAATTCACAGAGATGTTAGAATGAGTTATATGTCATCTTAAGTTGAGACGGCCCACTTGCAGAAAGTACGTTGAAAGAACAAACACTTCGTACAGCAAAACAATTTGTAAAAGTAGATTATTTTACTTTCTCATCATCTGCGTATTACTTACCGACCTTGGCGTACGAAATCATCAAATAAAATAAATCGAACAAAGGTCTAATTCTGGGAGCTCAATTTTGAAAAAAGCAGAACATTTTTCATTTACAACAGTTAATGATTCTGGTCGCGTAACGGATTGAATCAATTACGTCTCCAATCGAGCATACTCTCTCTCCCACCGTTTTCAAATAACGAACTCAGCCATGAAGAACTGCCGCATGTTTCGAAGGGCGCATGAAAGAGCTTGAATTAGCGGTCCCGATCTTTCTACGGAAAAAATTACAGCCCGAACAGTCGAGCCAGTTTTAGTAAAGTATTCAGAGTTCGGAGACCGAAAAACTGTCTCCCCCCACCAGCTGATTCACCCCACTTAATATGAAGACTTATTTTTTGTTTAAGGCAATAGCTTAGACTGCAAAGGCCTTGGATAGAAGAAAGCAGGGGTCTTTGCTTGAAGCTTAGTCAAGGGCACATCCTACGCACCTCATGTAAATCACAAAAAATACGTGAATACTTTTGAAGACGATTGGTAAAAGTATAGATAGTAGCTTTTAAGCAAGGATCGTACTTTGGTTTCGTTAATGAGCAGCTGGTGGCTCTCTATTGGCCCGTTTATATCATTCAACGACCAGCCATAGATAGGAAGGTTTAGGCATGACTTAAAGTCCGAGTAGAGGGCATTTGAGCAGACAGCCACTCCTTTCAACATCGCCCTAGGTCTATGCAAAGGTACCTTCTGTAGATTCGAGCACTTTTACCTGGCATTGAACAGTTGTTTTTATATTAATAATGTATAATATTCTCCACGTCCCGAGTTTCCTGTCTGGTGACGGCAATGTCACGCTTTTCCGTTTAAACGTCTTGATCGAGGGCCAAAAGCCGTGTTACCCATCTTTCAATCAAACAAACTGAAAATCTATGAAAAATCAGTTTATACTAGCATCTACTGTGAGTTCGTTCTCAGCGTTTTGACATTGAAACAGTTCAGTTCAATACTTTCTTTATTCTTAAGTGAGCTAGCATCAAAGTTAACTGGATATAGCGGTAAATAAGGTATAATAAGTTTCAATTTTCCTACAACACATAGGGTTATCTAAATTCGACTTTTTTTTTTTTCATAAATAGTTTATCTGAACAGATGCTGCAATGATATTTTTTCGTGTGCTAGAAGTGTCGTTCCTGACGGCCATGTTTAACCCATATAAGCATTATTTACCGCGATTGTGTCTCCACGTAAACCACTCACTAGTCATTTTCCTTCTTTAGTCCGCAAGTAACTTCTTTCTAGGAAGCGTGCAATATTGCTAGATGCAAACTTACTGAAGTAACGCTCGAACACGCTACATACAGAGACCTCCAGCGGAATTAAATTTCGGACTGATAACTTGGCTAAAAGTGCTAAAACTAACAACGACCAATAAGTACAAACGTTGTAAAAGAGCGCAAAGAGTGTTAAGAAGACAAATCGTTATCTGAACGACTTAATTGGTGTTACGCTTTTCAAAGCTATCGCTAATTTCTATATACAATATTTTAGTGTATTAAAAAATAGCTTTTTGGGCCATTTTGATTATTTCTGAGCCCTTTAAATAAACAAAAACAGGTTTATTGAGAATCATCCAGTCTGTTTCTTGGGAATCGAATTTTTCAAGAACCACATGAAAACACATTGTGTAATAACTAATCTTGGCCCAAATTGCAAAAAATACGCGTTGTTTTTTTGCCATTATGAGTCTGTTGTTGTTTTGTTCTATAATGAACTAGTTTTCTTCCGGTATCGAAAATATGGAATAAACGCATTCCTGCCACAAAAGGATGCCTGCCTAAACTTGAACGTTAGTCCCAGTATACTACACCACAGGTGCAATAAAACAAAGAAACAGTATAAGCTTTTATTTCGCAGCAGTTACACTAACTTGATTCATTTATGACGTAGCCTACCTAACTCAGATACGCAGTTGAATATTTATTAAGTTAGAAAAAAAGTGTGTCTTAACATCCATCTGCGTTTGTCTTGACTACCAAACAAATTCAGACTCACAATCATAGGGAAGCATTTGTTTTAATTCGATGAATATTTGATTTTATATATCAAATGAGGTGTAGAACCTAATCCGCTTGAAACCTTTAAAGAGTTTGCCTGCGTCTACTGTAATTCATAATTATACGTACGTATCACGGACATGGTTTAGTATCAAAAATATTATATATATTTATAAATGAATGATACATTCTTTGCTAGTGATGGCCACTGCGGTCACACGACTGTTGTTATAGATTCTGCAGAAATCGAGTTTCTATTGTGTTTTTCCGTAACGCGCAAGTAAGCTTACCGGATGGTGGTAGTCTTTAAGCGTATACATGAATCGCGAAAGGTGTCGACGACGGCAGATTACAATGGCCTGTGACGATCGACTTTTATTTTATTGCCAAGCAAAAAATCAAGTTATATGGCCACCAAAAGGTCTAAATCTATCTTAACGCTACTGCAGTAGATATATTATTTGAATTTTTTCTAAATTCACTCTAAAAATGAGTCCTATTATCCCATCCGAAGATTAATTAAGAACACCAAAAGAGAACTTTAGCAGTATTTTTTCAGGTAAAAAAGTCGACTTTTCTAATTTTCGTCGAAGTATTTTGAGTTTCTATTCCAACTTAGTATCTTATTACAAAAAAAAAAGGTATTACTCGCTTTATATCGTGCTTCAGTCATTTTTATGTAACATTTTAGCTTGTTACTTTTATTCTGTGACAACACTAGTATGAATTACGCATAAGATAAGTTATCTCTGGTGTAACAGGTATTCTGGTTGCTATCTCTTTAATTGTAGGTTTAAAGCTTTAGAAAATAAGGGCTTTACGAAGAGATTGATTTCAGCTTATTATCATTACTAAGTTCATCCAATCAGCTCCTGCAAATACGCTATATGTTTCTACATGTGCTATTTTATATCTGTGAATGCCAATAAGACCGGTTAGAATCGCATTGGTAAACAGCAGATACACCAAGGTTTGCTTATGCTGTTGAGGCGTAAATGTTTATTTTACCACTCATTCAAGGCTGTTAACTTAAGGTCTATGCTAAAACTTAAATGTCACAGCGAATAGCAATAATCAATACGACCAAAAACATTGGCTTGTGGTTTTCACAAGTTTTTTGGCATCTAGGACAGGGTGCGTACAATTGTGCGTGATGAAGGTGGAAAAAAATTTACCAGGTCTACATGAATGAATCCGAGGATACGTTTGTGTTTAGATATGAGAGGACGCTTGGTCGGTGTGAACAGAGTTTTTTGTAAGGGAACTGGAAGTTGATAACTGTCAGGAAGTCGAAATCGGACTTCATTTGGAGAAATATTGCTTGCTCAAGTACTTTTGTTCATTCAATTTTCCTTGTTATCTATTTGACGTTGATTTGAAAAAGCACGATCTCAATTATTGAGTAGTTTGTACATTAATCTCGTTAACTTTAATCAATCTTCGTTTCGATTTTGTGAGAAGGGCAATGTATTATAGTGAAATACGATTATAAACAGAGAGAAGTCATTGTTTCAAAGACTCTCAGTCTCTCGGTATGATATCTTATTTCTGGAAGCCTCACATAGAGCTTCTGTAGAAAGCAATTGCAGCGAAGGCAGGGCTGCTATCCTCCAACGCTGAATTCGAGTGAACAGTTTTTAGGAAGCTTCCTTGCTTAATATCCGTTGACATGCCCAATGGGCTACACAAGGTGGTGCGCTTTTCAAGATAGAAAAGCGGGACGGTATTTGGCGAATGAGGCCGTACAACCTGATGATGAGAAATGAAATAATAATAATCAAATTTGATGCCGTGCGGACGCTCATGCGTAAAAACCTACGTAAAAAGTGCTATCTATACCGGGACGTATGGGTTGAATCTCTGACCGAATATCTGACCACTTGGTTTCGCCTTTAATTTCTGCAGTTTATGGGCTCTTACGTGCGCTACTTCGTGTCCGGTAGGCTTGTTAATACCGTCTAAAAGCTGGAACGTGATTCTAAATTCAAAGGGTGTGACTCATTGGGATTGCTTGTCTAAGATATTAAAGAATGAAATAATTCTTTATTCAATCGGGCTGTCCGGAACTGTTGAAATTTCCATCATTAGACCTTAAAACCAACAAGTGAGAACATCGAGTCTTTAGTTACCTATGAGTAGAAGCTTATTGGGTGTTATCATGGGGTAATTAGATTATAAATAAAAATATCGCTTAATTCTGAAATTCAGTGTTTGATGATTACATTTCTCGTTCTTAAAAATAAAAGCGCTGATGAACTTTGTTGGGGGTTGGTAGAAACGCCGGCCAAGGGATACTCTAGCGTGTGTCACTCATGCAATTATTTTACAAACAGAAATTAGGAAGTTGAAGGCTACAGGGGGGTGACCGTTTCTTAAGACCTTGTATGGCAAATGAGTTTCTGAACGATATGGACAACGGCCAATGCGTTCCTTGTCAGCTTGATATGGGATTCCTCAAGGCATGTCTTAAACACGACACTAAAGATTAAAAAAAAGACAATAATACGTTCTTCGTAAAATGAATTCAAGGTAAATGAATATACGTGCCTCATGCTATAGGGACAATTCTACAGCCGTGTTATCGGCAGGCAAAGAGCCGTTTGAAACACGCCGTCGCCATAAACCAAACCAGCTTCCTGTGCCGCCGACCAGAAAATCAGATGGAAAAATGGGATTTAACGGAAGAAAAGCCATACTGATGGCAGCGATGACTAACGCAGGCGTAAGCTCATGCCCCTACTTGAAATGGATACAAAGAACATTTGATACCACGAGTCAGTGTCATCTAATACTGCTAGATATCGAACTCTTGAAAAGTTTCATGGGTGTTTGGCATACGCAGTCTATAATACACTGCGGAGTTACGTACAGCGATAACGTGCTAGTTGCTGCCGTACTTCAGTCATGCTTTGGAGCGTATTCTACCGACGATTTTCCTAACCTAATCGATAAAATTAGGTCGATAAACCGCGAGTGTACGGATGTTGTGAACCCACCGAAGCGTTGGAGTAAGGGAGCGAGCGAACACCTTACATTTACCAAGATGTCATTATTCCACTTTATATAATTTTAATGTGACCCAACTTTCTCGACTTGTCATGTAGGCCCGAGTAACCTAATATAATATTCTCTATATACGACCCACGCTGACGTTGGCGAAATTTAAAAGCTATTAGCAACTATGGCTTAGTTCGTGGCTATAAAAAGTTTGTGGACGCAATTACACCGTGTCGACTAGATTCTTTTTTATCTTTTTTTTTTTTTTTTAATAAATAGAGGACTCGAATTTTACATGTGCTGACGCAGCTCGATCTAATACGCATGTAAGGCGTTAGAGTTAGGATCTTTCTAGTAGCCATTAAGAACATACCTGTTTACCTGTGTTGACTATGCAGAAAACAGCCTTCCTTTTATAGTCCGCTGATACGTCATCGCTACTAGTACGGCTTCTCTGTACCACGAACGTTACTTACTGTGTAGTTACACAATGTCCTTGACCTGGTAATTTTAATTTAATTGATGTTTTTCCAGGTTTTCTAATAAAGATTATATGTCCTAGTGCGTCCGATGCATTCAAAGAATCGTATAGATTGTATATTGACAGTTGGCCAAATGTGGCGTAAAACGAATTTAATCAAACGATCTTATCTAATTACCGTTATGAGGATTAATTTGCCTACCTGTACCGACTCAATATAAAAACATTATTTTACCTTTTTTTTTTTTTCTGTTTCTTAACACATAGCAGAAACGAATCAGTTTATTATGCATTATTAACTACTGTGTGTCTGTTGATCGCTTTATAGTGGTGTAAGGCTGAAAGCTCGCATCTACTTCTTACATTATTATCAAACGTTTACATAATGATTAATAAAGAGGCGGTGGTGCGTATGATCGTTGTTTCATGCACAACGGACATTAAACGAAGGTGCTTCGAATTTCGGAACTAAATTACAATAGAGGTCTGGATAAAACAACACAAGCGATAAATCACTAAATAGCATCGAGTCTTGACCGATAATGCTTCTCAATGGCGGTGTTTTATTCAAATTTTGTATGATTTCGCGAAAAACGGCTGCCGGGCTTGCTGTCCGGAGCTGTGTCCGACAGAGTTCAGTGGCTCCAGCTTCCAAAAGTGAAGGAATTGGTATTATTTCTGTAGTCTGTTAATAATAGATCAAGGATCTTTACGAATCCATGAACTCTCACATACGATTCGGCTTTCGCATTAAGCTATTATAAGCATCTTATAAACCTTCCGAAACCGGATAATTATTTTAATCCGTTCCATTTAAATTTTTTTCCCCTTATCTGCATGATTGAAGATCCAGCCCTTTACTTGTACTTATATCTCAAAGTTCGTTCCAAGGTCA